TCCTCCGTCTTCAACGCTGGAGGAGAGGACGGTAGTGATACGGCGGGAGTGGGTTGGACAGTCGGACAAGCCCTGGGCCTCGGCGGTAGTGGCGGCGGGAGGGGGCGAGGGGCGGGAGGTTCGGGGGTGGGGATTATGGGCCTGTGCGGGAAGCGGACCGTTCCGAGAGCGCTGTCCGCCGGGAGAGGCCGAGTCTTCACGACCCTGCCGGGGGAGAGCTACTTTCGTGGACGGCAGCAGGGCGGCGAGTGGAACGCCGGCGCGACGGCAACGTCGGCGGCGGGCGCGGCGAAAGTCGGTGGTGGTCGAGGAGGCGGTGTCGATGTCCGGACGACCGCGGCGGTGTCGGCGTTCGTGGGTGGCGCCGCCGGTGGCGGTGGGGCGGGCGAGAGGCCAGCGGCCGGGGGACGGGACTGGCCCAGGGTCGGGGATCCCGTGCGCGCCGGGAGGTGTTCCCTGGCGATCGTGATCAGGCCCGCGGCCGGAGAGGAAACGGGAGACTGGGTGGGGTGGCGACATCGGCCGACTCACCGGGTCACGCGCCAGGTACGGCAGTGCTGAAAGAGTGGAACGGGGGACTGCGTCAGAGTTTTGCGCGAAAGCGTCCACGCCTTGTGCTTCTAGATGAGTTTTTTTTATTTTTTAGTCTAGCCACAAAAGAGCAAACCAACACGTCGAACTGGGAGAACCTGAACACACGAAACAAAAAGTAGCCCGTGTTTCTGCCGGCAGAGGCAGCCGATCGATCGGCGATTCTTCCGTGCAGCAGCAGCGCATTCGGCAATGGCCCCGTCCGCTGCCACCAGTCAGTCGCGTTCAAACCGGAGGCGGCGAAAAAACAACGGCCGTTCAGGCCGTAGCGCCGCCAGGGCTTGGCTTGCCGAACTCCTATCTGTCCTGCCGCGACAAAAGGGACACCTCGCCCCCTGCGTCCAGAGCTTGGGGGCTCGCGCGGAAGGCTGGATTCGCTCCCTGGCGAAGTTGCCGTCGGAAGAACGCCAGACCCACCACCCACTCTTGTTTCCTGCCGAGAGTACGGCCACGGGTGCGATTGCCTCCAGACACCGACGTGGGTGTACATGTGGTCTAAGTTGGAAGCGACGCGCCGCAAAAGCTCGTTTGTTAAGTCAACTCGATCGACTTCATAAGTCGCGAGGGAAGGGATTGCTGTACCCTTCTCGCGATGAAAATATTTCAGGCAGGAACCACAGGAGGGGGTCCAACCCCCCCCTCCTATGTGACCCCGCTTGGGTCGTCTAGCTAGTAGAAGTGGAGGATGGGGGCCAGAGGGGCAGACGACAGAGTCCAATGATGGAGAAGAAAAAAAAAAAGAGTTGGTTCTCGGAACGTTCATCGGCAGTCTTTTTCATTCTTTCTTTTGTTTCGTTTTTGCTCGTGGGTCCTGCAACTGACAGATTTGGCTGGTTCAACTGACGGAGCGGAGCGCCGGGGTAGACGGGGCACCGTCCCAGCAGGCGCCGTCGGCGCGGTGTTTGAGACACCTGGTGGCGATGTCGAAGGGGGGCGACGGGGACCCGGAATCGATCTACTCCTTTGCCGAGGTGAGCGCCTCCGAACGCCAGCGTTTTCGATGAGGGCGAGCGCTTTCCAAGCGAAAGCGGTTGGTTTGTTGTTGTTTCTGTTTGTTGCAGGTGGGTGGCTTTAGCGGGTGCTCGCCGGGCGATGACGCGGCTGGCTGGAGTGTTGCTTTTTTTTGCCTGGATTACGAGGCGTATTTGTTTGGCGCGTTTTGGTTCTCCCCGAGAGAGAGGGTTCCACCACCACAGTACCGCGCCTGACGCCATCACTACCCCTCCCCCGCCCCTCGTGATGTGACCTAACCCCCTACTCCCCACCCACGGTCTGAGGAGAAAACGGTTGGTCCCCTACCTGTGAAGGTAGCTTGAACGCTTTCTGCCGCTGTAGGTCTTACGTGGGCAACTCTACCCCAGCACTGTTCAATTTCGCTTTTTGGAGCCACAGTCAGAGCCAGATTCTTGGTCGAGACAGCGGAGCAAAGGCTCCGAACGGGTTGGTGTCGATGGGTAGCCGATGGGGCAGTGGCATTGCATTGTCTTCCCTGTTGTCGTTTGAGACGGGAACCTCTCTAGTTTCTCGTTCTATTGTAGTAAGGTGGAAGGTTCACTCATGAATGGTTTTGGATTTTCATCGCCTTTTATATTATCCCATGGCATCCCTGAGATGAATCCCCCTCCTGCAACTAAAACATGCTAGGGGCAGAAGAGTATCATCGTGCCTGTAGTTATAACCTCTCTCTTGCCACCCCACTCGTTGTTTTCGCCTTGTTCAAAGGTGTTCGGCGCTAGCGATGAGGCGGGGGGGGCGGCGAGACCGGGGTTGGCCTCCAATATTGGCTCCATCCAAGCAACGGTGGATGGCGGCAGCAGCAGCACGGTTGACACAGCCAGCAACACCAACAATGCCGGCAGCAGCGTTGTCAGCGGCGGCGGCGGCGGCGGCAGTAGCAACCCTGCGCAGGCTTCTCGAGGGGCCGGGGCCGGGGGTCTAGGAGCGGGGGAAGAAGTGCCCGAGGAGTGCGTGATCTGCCTCACGGACCCCAAGAACACGCTGCTGCTGCCGTGCAGGCACCTCTGCGTGTGCACCGAGTGCTTCCGGCACGTGGACAAGTGTCCCGTCTGTCGGTCGGCGTTCGACAACTACATCGTTCTCTCGGCACCGTCACAGCAGCCGCAGGCGGCGGGGGCGGCGGCGGGCGCTGCTGTTGCTCCTGCTGCTGTTGCACCAGGTTCGGTAGCGGTAGCTCTAGCGAGCGGCGGCGGCGGCGGCGGCGGCGGCGAGGCGGCGGCCGCAAGCACAAGCGGTACCGGCGACGCTGGCGCCACGCCCGCGTTGGGCAGGACAGCCGCGACCGTCCCGCTGGCGCTACCGACGGGCGAGGGCAACCTAGCGGCGGGGTCCTCCACCCCTCCTTCCTTCATGCCGACAGGTGTAGCCTCGATGATACCGTCGGCTTCGTCGCGTTTGGCGGGAGGAAGGAGGGAGAGGGAAGGAGG